GTCCTGACTTTCAGGCGGTGCCCGGGCCACGGCGTGGCGCTTCAAGGCTTCGTCTCACTCCGTGCTCTTTCAATTATGACCGTGCCATGGGTTTCCCTCTATCTCCCTCTTCCTATCGATCCGCGTCAGCCGCACGGTCGGAGAGCAAGTGTGCACTGTAGAAGATCGTTCAAAGTTTTATGTAAACAATCAGCCGGACCATCAGTCACTGTGACTGCACGGCATTCACGGCGGCGCCGGGCCGCCGGTTGAACGTTCCGAGCCTGTTCTGAGTTAGTACTCGGCCGTGACGGCGGCCCGGCCGCTGAGCCTCGGAGCGGCCGCTGGCGGGCCCTCGGGCTGGCTTGGTGGCCACTGAGTCACCGATCCGGGACTCACCGCCCTGCTGAGACTCGGAGTCCCGCTGGGCACACTGGGCCCCTGCCGATTCGCCGCCGCGGCCGGCCCGGCCCGGGTGGACCCCGGTCAAACTTCGGAATCCGATGAAAGTTTGCAGACCAGGTAACCTGATCCCCCCCCACCCCTAGTCATGTACCCACCCCATCAAATCCATATCACCGGTCTGTTCCCCTGGGGTTGGACATTCTAATCTGGTAGGGTATTTTACGTAGGAGAAAGGGGTAGACGTATGTCTCACGACTCGATACGTGGGGGTAGTTGAGGAAGAGAGAGGGTACCTTACCCACAACATCATCCTCCTCCTCCTCCTCCTCCTCCTCCTCCTCCTCCTCCTCCTCCTCCTCCTCCTCCTCCTCCTCCTCCTCCTCCTCCTCCTCCACTTCTCTGATTGGACCACAGCCTTACCTGTCTACTGCCAGCAAACACCGCCTGCCAATCGTAGATCGAGAAGCCAGGCAACAGCGTCGGGACTGTGTACATCCCACGGGACAGCGATTGCCCCAGCTATCACGACGATGTCAAGAAGTTTCCCAGCTCGCATGCCTTACAAAGTCTCTCACCTGCCCATATCGGTTGTCTCCGAACATGTACACGTTGGCAAGTTTGCGAGGCCAGCGGTACAACTTACCCTGTTCCTTGCACTCACTGAGGTACGGTCCTGCAAGCACTTGGTCACCAATCTCGTTGTTCTACTCGCCCAGCAGAACCTGAGCAGTCGAGCTTCATCTTGGATGTGTCATAGTTTTGAGGCTGGGAAAGCGTCACAAACAAAATCATTTGTAAAAGTTACCTGAGTCGCTTGAGACGCAAGCAACGGGTAGCGATACCCGACATCTGTCATAGGAGCTTCAGAGATCTCCTCCTCCACTCACGCACCTCCATCTTCCTCTCCACTCCTCTCCACTCCTCTCCACTCCTCTCAACTCCTCCTCCTCCTCCTCTCGTGAGTCATACGTGGATCTCTCGACGTCCTGTTCCCCATGCTCACAAACCCGGAGTGAAACTCTCCAGCTGTGAAGTAGGTGGAATTCCCCGGGATGAAGTTGCAGTACTTCATCGCAGTCCTCATGACCCCTGACGCGTCCGACCCTGTGCAATTCACATCCAGCGGCTCAGGCAAGTATGTCCGAACCTGGACAGAACTCAACCTCCTCTCCTTAACCCTCCCTCACGTCCTCCATCCCTCTCCTCGCTTCTCCCTCCTCTGTCTCCTCCTCACCTCCAGGTGGCAAGAATCGTCCTTCACGTGTCCACGTCCGAGCTGTCCCCTGTTGTTCCTCCCCCAGAGAAACAGACCACCATCGGCAGAGATCGCGGCGACATGGAAGAAGCCGGCGATGACGTCAACAATGAATACGTCGGAAGGCAGGTGGGCTCGAACTGGCTGATAGGATGTGACGAAGTTGGGGATGGATATTCCACCTAGGGAGCTAGCCCTCTGTCCCTGACACAGCTGACCGAACTGATTATCGCCAAAGAGCCAAACTATCCCCTCCACGTCTAGAGCAGCAGAGAACTGCTGTCCAGCTGCAACGTGGATCACCCTCCTTCCAGTCAGACAGTCCATGCTCGATGTGCAGGCGCCCGATATGAGTTGAGGGACGGAGCAGAACCCATTGCAGCATTGTTTGGACGCGACTGGTCCTTGGCATCGGCTCAACATGGCCTCTTGATTCAGACCCAGCTGACCTGCGATGTTTATCCCCCATGTGTACACCTTCCCCGAGACCGTGGAGGCAATCGTATGTAGCCCCCCGCAAGCAACGGAATACCACTTCTCTCCTGATGGAGCAGACACTAGCTGAGGTAGCAAGTAGAAGATTGGATCGTTGGCTCCCAGTCCGATCTGCCCGTACATGTTGTATCCCCACACATAAAGCTTAGCGTCGGTAGTGCAAGTGGACGTTGCAGCAGTGGCGGTGGCGGAGGAGTCCATGAAGATATCATAGCGGAAGCAGCCACGAGGAAGATAGTCAGTGAGAACAGCTGAATGTGCAGCAGACAGAGTTTGCTTGGAGGCGCTGAAAGCGTTCCTCCTGGGCGCCACGGGATTCGCCCCTGGTACGCAGTAGCTGTTGGACTCGACGCAGGTTGTCTTGTCCCCCTGTCCTGAGCAAGGGATCAGATTGTTCACTCCTCCCGTGCAGACGAAGACTTGAAGAGGACGGAAGAAGATGAGGGGCTGCGGCCAGAGGGCATGGTATCTGTTGCCAGTAGGGAACTGGTTATCTTGCAGACCGAGCTGCCCGTATTCATTGCTGCCCCATGCATACAGCACCCCCTGACTGTCCATCCCGAACCCATGGCTGAACCCAAAGTTGACCAGGGTCAGGTTCTTGAAGCCTCTCCCTCCTCCTACTGGCTGGTCGTAAAGGCCGTCACCAATCTTGAAATACCTCTGCAAAGTGGGAGTTCGGATGGGAACACGGTCTCCCAGCCCCAGTTCCCCATGGAAGTTAAGGCCGCTCACGAAGGTTGTGGTAGATGGTCCGTCTGAGTTAGGATAGAGCCCATACGGTCTGAGAGGATCGATTCTCTGGCTGTAGCCGTAATCTTTCATCCGAGTGGCGCAGGAGGAAATCGCTACGGTCTGCACGCAAATACTGCGACCGGTGTTATGCTGAAACTCACCTGATAGAAACAACAAGTCAGTCAGAAGTGAATGGGTTGTGAGCAGAGAGTACTGACCAGGATCCGACATGATCCAGACGGATCGAACACAAACCTCGCCATCAAATCGACAGGGAGCGAGGCTTGCGTTCAACTGTGAAAGGATCCCAGTCTCTCCTTTCAGCGTTGTCGAGTATTGATCGCCATAGAACCAATAGCCAGGATAACCAGTTGCTTGTCCATGTGCACGATGAATACAAAACAAGATGGCAAGAATGAGGCTCAAGTCTTGAGCAACAAGAACAGACTTATTCCTGGGCATCCTCTATGTTGTCTCACTCGAAACGCGTCAAGACATCGGTTCTGTTATCAGGTTGTCATCGTCATTGTTCTTCTACATGCTCTCATTATCATCTCCCATCTCACCTCTCCTCTCCTCCTTCCCTTGTCCCAACTCCCATACCCCGGTAATCCCTACACATACTTCACCTATCCTACAATTCACCTACCCCTACTTTTTCATGTTTTATCCACAAAACAGACAGGTGGGGTGGTCACTGGAAGTTTGTGCTGTATGAGTCGTTCAGAACATCCCCCCACAATGGCGACTGCCTAGAGGGAGCGGCAGGAGGAAAACAGCGAGAGCAGAAGCATGGCAGAGGCGCGCAGAGAGGGAGAGAGCGTCTGATATATCGTAGCTGAGATATCAAAGTCGTCGAGCAAGTCCCCACTCGAGCGAAGAGCGAGGGCGAAAACAGAGTTGGTAAGTGAGAAGGGATAGTCAGGAGAGAAGGGTGGTTGGCGCATCATTTTGAGCATTGAGGTGAACTCTGTCTCCCCTGGAACCAGGACACAGAAGGGCTACAGGTATTTTCTGCGACATCCACGAACTTCAGAGAGGCTTCAAGACACGATCGGCAACTAAACAGAGAGTTTGTTCCCCGGTTGCTGGAACATGCCTTCGGAACCTGCCAACTCCAATGGGGTGAAAGACGAGATAGAACTTGTTGGGCTTGGCCCAGAAAATTCCAATGGAAGCGCAATGCTGGAGCGCGCTGACGTAGAGGGATATGCATGCAATGGCGATGGGACGTACCTAGGCGCAGGTTGCTGACACAACGAATATGCAGTGAGAGTTGTGATGGCGTGTGGTGTAGGTGAAAAGGTGCTGGATGAATGCGCGGTCGAGTTGGAACACATTCGCAAGACTTACAACCTGGAAGGACGAGATGAACAGGTCGTGGCGCTCAAAGAAATTAACATCTGCCACGAATCCGAGATTGTAGCGCTTCTCCTGTCTTGCTGTGTTTGCCTTGACGTACAGACAGTATCCCATCATGAAAGGAGAGTTCCTGATACTCCGAGGGCCTTCCGGTGGAGGCAAGACGACTCTCTTAAACATGATCGGGTGCATTGATAACCCGACATCTGGCGTCTTGAGATTGTTCGGGGACAAGGTGAGTTATTTGTTCCCTTTATTGTTTTTCTCATGTGAACATCAACAGATCACAGCAGAAACCAGTGACTCCTACCTTGCGAAATTGAGATTAGCCAAAATCGGTCTGTCCAACCTTGAGTTAACTGCAGGATTCTGACAAGCTTAACTCTTGTTGTGAAGGGTTTGTTTTCCAGACGTTCAATCTCCTAGCAACCATGTCTGCCTTTGAAAACGTATTTCATTCCACGCCCGATTTCTTTGCACCGAGGATAATTTTATTCGGCCATGCAGGTCGAGCTTCCGATGACCCTTCTTGGAGTTCTCAACAAGAAACAAAGACAAAAGCGCGCTGTCGAACTTCTCACCACGGTATTTCTTTGCTCCAAACTCCTCCTCCCTCGACCCCTCCAGCTTCCCTTCCCCTTCCCCCTCCTCCCCATCCCTTGCATCTCTCCCTTCCCTCTCCTTCTCGCTGATCTCTCTTCCTCCTCCTCATCTTGTCTCATCCCCCCCTCCAGGTCGGATTGTGGGATCGCATGGACCACTTGCCGTCGGAATTGTCTGGTGGGGAGCAGCAGCGAGTCGCCATCGCGCGGGTAAGTCAGCAGGGAGCTGTCCTTGTCCTTCCTCACTCCCCTGTCTCCCCAGGCGCTTGCCAACAAGCCTGAACTGCTGCTCTTGGATGAGCCCACAGGAGACCTTGACACGAGGAACACGGTCGATGATAGCTTGTGGAGGTCGCAAGGCGCTGACCCGACACCGAGCAGATCGACGTCATGGACATTCTTCTGGACATCAACCTGGTAAAGCGCCAACGTGTGAAGTCTAGACTTCTTTTGATCCCCTTGTGCTGCAGAAGCAGAGAACAACCCTCGTCATGGTGACGCACAATCCGGTGATTCGTCTTGCTCCTGCTCCTTTCTTCTGATGTCTCCTCCAAGGACATCGAGTGCTACGCAGACCGCGTGCTTTACCTTCAGGATGGGCAGTGTGTGAAGCAGGCGCTGAACGAGTCGCAATGCCGTAATGCATTCACTCTCCTCTGCCCGCAAGTGCCTTCCCTTCGTCTGATTGCTGCTTTGCTTTCAGGTTTAGAATTCACAAAGTACATGGACTTCTTGAACTCGAAGCAAGCTGACCCATAGGCCACTCAGTGACTGGCAAAATTTGCTACTAGGGTACGATTATTCTGATTCAGTAACTTCACCGTAGTATATGTCTCTCACTGACGGTGTCATTGAAACTCTGGTATCCACTGAGTCTCACTGAGTCAGAACTCGATTCCGAGCCCAACGTGTCGGACCCGGCGTCACACAATACTGGGCCAACATGAGGCCCTGTCGGCCGGGGCGGCTCCCGCCGGGCCCGGGACAGCACACTCGTTTCCTGGCGACCGTCCGGCGAGCTTCCCTCAGGAAGAAAGCCTCCCCACCCCCTCCAAAACTTCCGCCCACTCTGACCCACCCCTGGATAAAGTATGGTAATAAGCGCCTTTACCACCTACCCATGTTGTATGATGGGTCATTACCACCCACCCTACTCAGGGCTAACCACTTACTTTTCCCACCTACCTTGGGAAGCCAATAGCACAATCAGACCAACCACCCCTTGTAGTACCCCCCAGTAGCTCCATACTAGTACCCCCTCGTCATGGATGTTCCAGCACCCTCTGCTTTAGTGAAGCACTTTCCGCATGCACCCGACGAGCGGCAGCATCAGCAGAGCAGCTTGAGGTACCGCATGCAGCAAACCTCCCGATCTCCATGAACTGATCCTCCCATCCTCTCTTGTTCCCTCTCCCTCGCTCCCTCTCCCTCGCTCCCTCGCTCCTCCTTCCCTGTCTTCCTCCCTCGCACCCTCCCTGGTCATCTTTTTCATGATCTGCAAGGTCTTCAAGATCTGACTGTGAAACGTTGTAGCTGTCGAACACATCTTCGAGCAGAAATGATGTGCTTGTCGCTCATCGATTGAACCAAGTCTCCGTGTTTGCCAGCTCAGTTTGCACAGGAGAGGAATTTACCCAGCAATCTGGTCTTGGAGAAGAGTAACATCGTGATGGGGGTCAAATCTTTCAGTTTGCACAAACCTGTACCGAAATGGGCAAGGCTGGATGTCATTCCTTTTATCATCCTCCACATCGTGAATTTCTCTTACATCATTTACGCCAGCAAGCTCGCACCGCAGGCGGCGGGGCCAGCAGCCAACCTGGAGTCAAACGTCACCATGGAACAGAACATTACACGGGCGCAGCACATCACCAAGCAGAACGAGGGAGTTGCGTTCCTCGGCCTCTTGCTTCCTGTCCTGAACACCGCTTTCATACCATTGCTCTTGATCATGCAGTTGGTGACACACCTGGGCACCTACTGGTCCGTGGAATTCAAAGCTCTAGCCACGATGAAAAGAGTCGATGACATCAACGACGCGACTGTTGTGAAGGTGAAGCCATCGAAAGTGACAGAGAAAGTCGGAATCTGTGAACTAGCAAAGCTGACCCTCAAACCTGCCATGGACAAGAAGAAGGAGGAGGTCCTCAGCTTCGAATTTCACAAGCGCCGCTACATCTGGGATGCAGACAACAAGAAGTTCAACAAGGTTGAGTTTCCTGTTCATCTTTCTTTCGGGCAGTACCTGTCAGCAACGGGCTACAAGGATGAGTCGGACATTGAAGACGCCACTCATCGATGGGGTATCAACAGCTTCCAGATCCCGCTGCCCTCTTTCAGCGAGCTCTACCTGGAGCAATGCAGGCAGCCGTTCTTCGTGTTTCAGATCGCGTGTGTCGCTCTTTGGAGTATGGACGAGTACTGGTATTTCTCCATCTTCACACTGTTGATGTTGCTCCTGTTCGAAGGAACTGTCGTCTTCTCGCGGACTCGAAACATTTCCATGCTACGTGACATGATGGGGAAACCCAGCAAGGTGAAGGTGCTGCGAGGAGGCTCGTGGCACACCATGGACAGTGACTGTCTTCTTCCTGGAGACATCATGTCAGTCTCAAGGAACAGGTTGGATCCTGACGCAGTCGTGCCGGCAGACCTCCTACTTCTCAGCGGGAAGGTTGTGGTCAACGAGGCCATCTTGACAGGAGAGGCAACCCCGCAGCAGAAGGTTGGAGTTGCCCTGCGAGACAAGCAGGAGGTTCTCTCTCTCAAGCGATCTTCTGATACTGGAGATCGCCTGTATGTCGTGTTCGGAGGAACCAAGGTCTTGCAAACTGTTCAGGAGCCAGAAACACATCCAAAGGGTATCCCAAAGCCCCCAGATAATGGCTGCGTGGCTTATGTGATCAGAAACGGCTTCAACACCTCCCAAGGTCGGCTGGTGCGAACCATCATGTTCTCCAGTGAACAAACAACTGCTGCTACCAAGGAGGCCGGGATCTTTGTCTCAGTCTTGCTCTGCTTTGCACTAGCTGCAGCAGGATACGTTCTCAAAGAAGGTTGGCATGACCCCAAGAGAAACAAAGCGAAGTTGCTGCTGAACTGCTCCATGATCATCGCATCGGTCGTTCCTCCTGAGCTCCCGATGAATCTGTCTCTTGCTGTAAATTCGTCGCTTCACTCGCTTTCGAAACTTGGAGTCTTCTGCACCGAACCATTTCGGATTCCATTTGCAGGGAAAGTAGGGGTCTGCTGCTTTGACAAGACAGGAACTTTGACGTCGGAGGATCTGATCCTTGAGGGAGTTGCAGGGATGCAGCCACCTAAGGACAACGCGGCTCACTCAACGCTGGATTCTCCTGCCAACGTCCCTGACCCTTCTGTGCTTGTCCTGTGCGGATGTCACGGGCTGGTGAACATCGACGACTCTCTGTCGGGAGAGACGATGGAGAAGGTGGCGTTGGAGGCGTTCGGGTGGACGTTGAGCAAGGGAGATATCTCGATGGAAACCTCTGGGAGGAAGCGAAAGATCGTTGTCCACCATCGTTTTCCTTTTGCGTCTTCGCTCAAGAGGATGGCGACTGTTGTAGAGCTCGCTGACAGGTCAACGAGTGGAGCTGCTGTCTCTCAGTTCATGGTCCTCTGCAAGGGGGCGCCTGAAACCATGCAGGACAGGTACGAGTATACCCCCCCTTACTTCAAGGCCACCTATGAGTACTACTCGAGGCAAGGGGCAAGGGTCCTTGCTCTGGGCTACAAGGAGCTCCCACGCCAGCAAATCTCTCAGCTTCGCTCGATGTCGAGAGAGACAGCTGAGAATCAGCTGAAGTTTGCCGGGCTGGTTGTGTTCCGATGCCCGAACAAGTTCGAGTCTGCAACGTCTCTGAAGGCTCTGAAGGAGTCAGGCCACCACCTGGTCATGATCACTGGCGATCAAGTCTTGACCGCGTGTCACGTGGCGAGGGAGCTGGGAATGTGCAGCAACGACGTCAGCCTGATCTTGACGGCCAAGTCGTCAGCTGGAGGCGGAGGGTCTGGTGAGCTGGAGTGGGTATCGCCTGACGAGAGCGAGAGGCATCCGTTCGATGTGAAGGACACGGGGAAGCTGTCCAAGAAGTACGACCTGTGCATCTCGGGAGAGACCTGGAGATCGATGGCAACGGAGACTATCGACAGGATGATGGAGCACGTCAGAGTCTTCGCACGGGTCTCCCCGACGCAGAAGGAGCAGATCCTGCTCTGCCTGAAGGCGAAGGGTCACTACACCCTCATGTGTGGGGATGGTACCAACGATGTCGGGGCGCTGAAAGCTTCGCACGTGGGAGTCGCTCTGCTGTCGGGCGTGTTCAACCCCGACGACGAGGAGAGGAGGAGGAAGCAGGACAGCGTCTACCTCAACAAGGTCGGGGGACCGACCTTGTTCGACCTCCAGCTCAGGGACGCTCAGATGGCCAACGAGGAGATTACCATCGTGAGGCTGGGAGACGCGAGTATCGCTTCTCCCTTCACCTGCAGGCAGAACAGCATCTTCCCCATAACGAGGATCATCCAGCAGGGGAGATGCACGCTTGTGACAACGATGCAGATCTACAAGATTCAGGCGCTCTCCTGCCTGACGCTAGCCTACTGCCTGTCTGCGCTCTACCTAGCTGGCATCAAGCTGGGCGATCAGCAGATGATGCTCTCGGCCATGATGTCGGCAATCTTCTTCCTCTTCATGTCGCATGCGAAGCCTCTCAATACTCTTGCTCCTGTTCGTCCTCCTTCAACGATCTGCTGTTCCTACATGGTCTTCAGCGTCCTTGGCCAGTTCGCCGTGCATCTGTTTGTGCTGGTCAAGGCAATCGAGCACACGAACCCGCACGTGAAGCAAGGATGGGTATGCAGCGGGGACTCGGTCAACAGCACCAAAGCGAAGGAGGAGGGGCTGACTGCTCCCCTCTGCTCGGGCCCTTGCGAGTTCATCGGCTGCAACGGCTGCATCGGGGGCACCTGCGTGTCCGATCGAGACCCTGACTCCAACTTCTCGCCCAACATCTTGAACTCCGTCATCTTCATCATCACCGCCATTGCGCAGGTGATGATCTTCGCCGTCAATTACAGAGGCAGGCCGTACATGCAGTCCCTCACCGAGCATAAGCCGCTCCTCTACTCGCTCATCGTCGCGGTGGCCCTCCTCGTCGGAGTCTGCCTCGAAGTGAGCACGGACTTCAACGCATACTTGATGTTGACCCCGATGCCGACTCAAGAGCTCAAGTTCCAGGTACCTCCTCCCTCTGTTTGCCACACGACCTGATCCTTTGTCTCGTTTGCAGATCTTGCAGCTCATGGGGGTTGACATGATCGGCACGTACGTCATGGAGTTCCTCGCCTCCCTCCTCTTCTATCGCAGCGCCTGCATGAACGTGACTGACGCCCTCCTGAAGAAGTGACGAACTTTGAACAACTTTCTTATCAAACACTGCTCTGCTTAGCACTTTCAAAGAATTAGGCTTTCCCCACTTGAGTCTAAACACGGTTAGTCATTCACATCACGCCTCAATGTCACTGCGGCCCGGCCCAGTCACTGTCGGAATCACTCGGACCGGGCCCCAACCAGCGTCACAGTTCCGACGCGCACCGGTCACCGCCGATTGACGTACCGGGCCCCTCCTGAGTACCCCGCCTGCGATACACTGGGCGCTACCCGATCCGATGATCATGATTCCCGAAGTCCCCGGGCCCGGCGGCAGCTGTGGCGAACAAGGCCCAGTTAAGTTGCCCGGGCCCGCCACGCCCCCCGGTGGGCCCGGCCGCCGGCCCGCCGGTCCGATGTCATGGCATGATGCCACCAGGGCCTGAACAGGTACCCCCTTCTAATATAGTTGACTACCCCTACTTGATATCTTCGAAGGACCCCCTGGTATGTACTTCGACTACCCCTATAATACCAGTTACGATACCCCTCATACCCATTCCCGTTTTCAGAGAGCGGCTCTTCATGCAGCGCCGGGTAGGCTATGGCGTGTTGTCGCTCATGGCGATCGCCCTGGTCATCGAGCGACATGATAGGATCATGCCGTCACTGCTCTACCAGCAAGTCCCCGTCCCTCTCACGCCCATTTCTCAGACGGTCTCCCATGCGCGGAGAGTGAGACTTTCCTTGCCATGGAAGCGAATGATGATGCTCTCCGACGACCATGTCGCGCAGGACCTGTTGGCGAACGAGATCGTTTCTCTCTCTTCAAATGAGAAGAATACTGATTGTAGCAGGTTTGCCGACAAGAAACTCGGAAAACTCTCAGAGCATCAACTCAGCTGCCCTGATCATAGCGCAATTAACTTTTTTACATTCCATTCTTGCTATCCAGACGACAACCGAGATTGGATGCGCTTCAAGTTTCAAGCAAGTTATGATTGTTCCAGTCACGGTTCAGCAATAAGTTCGACAAGCAACTTCTACCAAACAAGCTGCCAAGATAACAAGTGAGACCTTCCATTCCGCTGCCCTGAGATTAAGATTTGTTCCATTGCAGGGATGAGTACCTGGAGTATCTTGACAGGCAGCCAGTGCAGTGCAATCCTGGTGAAGTTCTGAAGTCATGGCAACTCACGACAAGCGGTTGTTCTTCGCAGCAGGTCAGAATCAACTACTACTGCAGCCCAGCCGAAACCACCAACTTGAGGGACGTCTGGGGGAGCTGTCAGTTGGTGCGACAAAAGACCTTGGCATACCTGGACAGACATCATCCATCATGCGGAGACAACTCTGTTATGACAGGATTCCATCTGACAGCTGAGGGATGCGGTGGAGACGATCTTCGTTTCGTGGTCCACTGTGCCCAAGTGAACCTGCCATGGACTCAATTTGGGCTCGACGATATGAAGAGGTACAATGCAGAAGACGCGACTGAATACGCGAAATATCTCAAGAGAAAAGGAGACTACGATGGCCTTGAAACGCCCAACTCGCCAACTGGCAGGAGGATCAAGGACGAGTACGAGTACTTCTATAAAATGCACAAGTACTGGAGCGATCTCTACCAGTAAGTTGATCCCCCTTCCTGTTGGCGCTTGCATGATCTGATCTCAAGGTCCGTGGAGAAGAAGAGAGAAGCTATCAAATATTACAGGCTTTGGAACCTCTGGAAGAATTATCCGACGTACTCCAACAAGGTAGATGGGACCTGGTGCTCGTTTCAACTGCTGCTCACGAAACCTTTCAGGCACAGGAATACGAGTCCCTCTGGAAGTCAAACTACAATGCATATCAATCATTGATCGGCAATCCTCCCTCTGCTCCAGTGGTTGGCATTCCCAAGTCACAGCAACTGATGTTCTGATTGATGTCCTGTTATAGGTGACCTATCCGAAAGAAGCGTTTCTGGGGCCTGAGAAAGAAGCAAAGGATACCAGCGAGTACTGGCTTACCGCATGGTCTGAGCTTGCTATCGCTGTTAAGAGGTAGAACCTGTGACAACATTTGGCAGGCAAGACCCTCCCAACACAGAGGTTGCGGATCGACATGATCCCGAGAAGGTACTTTCCTAGCACAAAATGTCTCTTGGTTTCGCTCATGAGCGACTCAGGTCAAAGCCAGTGCAAGGAGTGTCCCTCCTCCTCCTGCCCCAGGATGTGGCAATGACTGCAAGAACAACACGATCGTAGGCACTCATTTTGTGACCTTCCTCCGACCTAAGACCTTGTCCTCTCAGAACTACCTCTCGAGGGCTGCTGACCGTTTGGGTGATCTGCTTCCAGAGAATCCAGGTGTGCTGACGGTTTGAAATTTTTCCTTCCTGAAGCTCATGCTGTCTATCAGATTGGAACTCTGTCCCCAAGGAGCTCATGAAGGATCCTGAGTCGAAGGAAGCAGAGGTGAAATTCAGGAGTCTGCCTTTATGGGGCCTGACTTGTTCCAGCTGGAGAGAGCGATGAACACCAAAGTCTTCGACCCGGTAGACAACGCAGACATGGACTACAAGTTCCTTCCCGATGGCCGCGAGCTGTCGGACAAGTCAGGCTGTCTCCTCGGAGATGCAGATTGCTTCAGGAAGATGAGCATGTGGCCTGGGCTGCCGGACGTCATGACGCAGAAGGAGGATAAGTCGAGGATGAAGAACGCGACCACCGCTTACCTCACATTCAAAGAAGCACAGCAGAGGTGAAGAGACAGCAGCAAGTGGTGGCGGGGAGAAGAGGGAGGATGAAGAGGAGGAGGAGGTGGTGTAGGCGGTGGCAGTGGCGGGAGGGGGAGGAAGTGGTGTTGGTGAGGACGATGATAACGAGCGACAGGTTGGGCGACCTCTTCCCTGAGGACCCGCAGTGGTCCAAGTATCCCAAGGAGCTCGTCCCTGGTGATGACTCGGAGGCCACGGAGAAGGACAAGCTTCTTAACGTGAAGGTGTGCAAAATTCCCCCCCTTTCTCCTCTTCTTCTCCTTCCTCACCCCGCTCCTCCCCCTCCTCGTCGTTGTTCCCTTGTTGTTCGTTTCTGATTCTCCATCATTTAGGTGTTCGACCCCCTGGAGAATCAGGACTACGGCATCGTGAAGGTGAGGAGATACGCAGGAATGTGAGGCGGTGACAAGGTGGCAGCATCCGAGATTCCTGGATAAGCGTGATGAGTTCAGGTCACCTCCTCTCTCTTCTCCTCTCCTCCTCCTCCTCTTCTCCTCCCCTTCTCATCGATGCTGCAGGAGAATCATGAGGAGCAAGGTGGGGTGCGAACTCGGAGACGTGGCTTGCTTCCGCAAGTACATGGAGGTCAACCGCTACGATCGCGCTTGAACGTCGCTTACACTTGTGCACAGAAGCAGGAGGAGCTTGCGAAGCAGTAGAATGAGGAGGAACTTGGTTGTCCTGGGATTGTTAAGTTTTGTAGTTTAGCTGAGCGGCATCAGGAGGGACTCGTAACGAGTTGCAATGAAAGGCTCGAGGTACCACCCCACCCCCCTTTAGAAGATGATTTGTACCCCACCTTTTCATACCTGAAAAGTTGGTCAGCATGTCTGGAGTACTGCCATGGAGGACGGTGGAGGCAGCAGGAGGGAGAGTAGGAGATAAGAGACGACGACGACGACGACGAGGAGGAGGAGGAGGCGCCTGGGAGAAGAGAAGCGAAGGGAGCTGAAGGAGGAAAGGGGTGGAGTGCGGGGGTTGGTTGGAGAGGCACAGAAGATTGGTAAACGTACGGCAGCGAACGAGCGACGTGGGGAGGAGAGGATTGAGCTGCAATAGGCAGTGCAAGATGAGGAGACAACGTTGTCAGATAGAAGGGATTTTGTCGATGACTGTACACCTCATCCTCTCTTTCCTTTTGTTCCTTTCCTTTGTTGGAGCCCCCCATATATCGTCCACCCGACTCCCCACCCCGCAGCTTGCCCCCTAATCATATATTTAAAACGCCGTCCATAGAATCTAGACATTACTTGAAATCGGTTTCGCATCGGCGGCCCCAACGAAGCCAAATGCATGAGGTAGTTCCTGAACCGCCCTCGACGGAGGATCGCGACTAGATTGCAGGACCAGTTTGAGAACCAACAGATCGACTGAAATTCATGAAATCTGA